AGAAGCGAATCAATTCTGGTCCTCACGACGTCCTCGAGTGAGAATTGTGCTTTAAAGACATGTCTCGATGGCAACTCTTGCCTCCTTCTCGTAGATACTCAAAGAAACTATGCATGAATTTCGCTTCGAATTCTTCACGCGTTGGGTAGTTGGGCGGCGGAATGATCTCTCTCAATCCGTTTTGGATGCACCGTTCCTGCGGGTCTTCAACAAACGCTTGGATAATTTCCTGTGTGTCTTTTTAGACACTCTTAACCCGAACTGTATACTGCGTCAACTTTGGGCAGAATTTTGTTTAAAAACAAAGCTACTTAAATTATGTAGATGGTGTTCTTATAGTGTCCTTTTTCAGAATGCGTGTATATACCACACCGGGATTTAAAATGTTTTTCAAAGAGCTTGCCAATTACCTTCAAAATAAACTGAAATGAACTAAAAAACACCGTGGCGTAGGGAGAAGCGATGATGAGAAACAAAACAGGCGACAACGAGGAATCCGTTATGTAGTTAAGATTGTTATTTAGGCCAGTGATACAAGGGCCGGTTGCCGGTGTGTCGCGATTCGGCAGGAGGTAAGATAAAATGTCGTGCCGTTGGGCGGACCAGCTTTATAAACACTGCTTAAAAAAACGGGAGAATTGAGTATTTGGAAAACACGGTCAGTCAAGAGCCATACTATCGCAAAATGCTATTGGATTGCGTATCGACTAGAAAGGGATGGGTAACGTTGAGAAGAGAACAGACGAAAGTGCACCGGATGGAAGGAGATACATCGGTCAATTCATCCGAAAGTTCCGTTCGCGGACACGGGATTCGTAATATTATATTCATGTCTCAGTGTATCAAGACGCTCGCTAAAAATAGCCTTTCCTTAAAAATTAGAAGGGATCGTTTGAGGGGATCTCTGAAACCTTGATTCGCTCGCCTCTGGGGTATGGGGTACAGTCCTGATAGCACTGGGATAATAGCAACAGTTCTTGGAAAGGACCTAAATAGGGACAGGAGCGATTTGGAGAACTTGAGGGTCTTGAACCGTGGATACAATGTCATTGCACTTGATCGCTTCCCCTTGGTTGACATACAAACTCAACATTTATTCACCCAGCCTATTAGGTTGTCAGAGGGCCGAGGTTTTTCCCGCGGTACGAAGACTTCCTTTAAGTGCCGACGTAAGCAATGCTTCTTTACCCTTTCCACAGTCCGAGGAAAGTTGTTGCGCGTCGCTTTTTTGACAGTTCTTCTCAAAGTAAGTTGTCTTCGTCTCGCCTGCGCTATTACGATACATTATAATACCAGACACATTATAGGTATTTGAGCGATAGAGTTTTATTCAGATTATTCATGTCGTTCGAGTTGTGTCCTGCAGTTCGAGGGTCTTTTTGAGAATACCACACGGAGGAATACATGTCAAACTTTCCGAAACCTCTAGAAAATGGGCAAGT